GTTAAGGTTATTTTTTTTTTTTTCTTTCTTTAAGTACCCGGACAAAGTCGATGGTATTACAAATACAAATTGCTAGAACTTTGTTTCATTTAATATGTTTTCTTTGTTAGAAGGCAACACGTCATTTGTTAATTACGAGAAGGCAATTCGCTTTGTATCATCTGGTATGTCTGGCGTCCCAAGACATTTTCTTCTTTTCTTGAATTCTTAACAACTTCTTTTTTTTTTGCGTCTTTCTCTCTACAATATTGTGTCCTTTTTTGTTCCGTTTTCCTCTAATCTTTCGATTCTTTTAGAAAGTGGCAAAAAAATGCAAGGGACCGTTTACAGGCATTATTGGCAGCACTTGATCGTTTTCTTCCTTTTCTATCTCTCGCTCTCTCTCTCTCTCTCTCTCTCTCTCTCGCTCTCTCGCTCGCTCGCTTTCTCTCTATCTCTTTCTCTATTATTTTACTGTATTCGTTTAATCAGTTTTCCTCTTTCGAAATTTTCTTGGAGTGTGTGTGATCGTGAAGAAGAACTCGCGTGGAGAGCCTCGGTGTCACAAGCATAATACACACCTCAGTGATATATATTCTCGAACACTTATCTCTCTGTCACTCCTGTTTCTCTTTGTTTTTTATCTTCCTTTATCATTTGTCCACGATTACGAAGATAACCAGCGTTAATGTTCTTCCTAAGTATGCTCTCAACGAATCATTTTATGTACAAAACTTATTACTATAGGATACGCTTGCACTCGCACGTCACGTCCGTTCGGGTGGGGGGCGGACTGCTGTTCAATAAATTAAATTTCACTCTAACTTATCGTGTTCGAACGCCCCGGTGTGCCAAGAAAGGCTATATATATGTATATATATACTCTAAACGTTTAGAAAAGTACGATGTCTCTGATTCTGGCTGAGCACGAGAGAAACACGCGGATGTGCGTTTTCTTTTTTTTTTATTTTTCTTCACCGAAAGACATAGAATCGAATCGCAACGAATCGATTCTTTTTATCGTTCGATCCCCCCCGGTACGCTGGTTAATATTAAAAATATAACGGAAAAATTGAGAAGCGACGATAACTTCCACGGTGTTTGCTTCTTTATATATTTTATTTTATATAAAAAAAAGACGCGAATAGAGACATCGTACGGACGACAGACGGTTGCGTGAACTTCCTTTCTACGCAGACGTGACAGAAAAATCTCATAGAGACACATTAACTCGCTCCATTTACTACATAACATACAATATATATTCATATAATATATATATAATATTCAATAATATATACTAAAGGTGTATTTTTATATATACAGAAGATATATAATGTCTGTTTCAATAATTTTTTTTTTATGAATTAGTAACACTAGCTTGCTAAATAACATTCTTGGACCTCGTGTGTATAGCCAGCACCTTACGTTGTTGAACCCTCAGCTCAAATAGAAGAGTCGCCCTTTTTTTCGCTTACATTTAAAAAAATATAGTGTGTAAATCGTGTGTCTGTGTGGACGTGCACGCGTACGCGCGCGCACACGCGCACGCGCTGTGTGTATCAAATGTGTGTCTGCATATACGTGTAACCTCTCCCTGAGCTCGCTCCATAAAACGTTTGCTTTATTTTTTAAACATCTTTATCATTTCCGCTCTATCATATTTCCTCCTTTCTGAATCTTTTCACAGCCCTCATTTCGTTTCGTTTTTTTTTTCTTCTTTAAACTTTCCACGCTCGCACATGTGTAAGTTCTACTTCCCCCTTTTCACTTTTTTTTCAGCAGTTCCCTTCGTCGACACGTTTATATAACAATTTCTTCGTTCTTTTTTTTTTTCTTCCTTTTCGTTCTAGGTAACATATATAACCGTCTAATATACAATAAATAATTTATCGCGCTCTTGAATGTACAATTGTTCCGCGTATATCCCGACTATACGCGTTAAGTAATTTGTCCATACTAGATTCATCTTGTTTCATCTTTTCTTTTTCCTTCCTCGTTTACTTTTCGATTTAAAATACATTTAATAACACTTGTGCCTTAATAGCATCTTTATCTTTAAGAACTAAAATTTTGTACAAATTTGAACGAGCTCAACGTAGTGTATATATAGGTATATATATATATACTACTTCATACGATATAAAAAAAAAAAAAAAAAATTTGAAAGAAAGACCAAAAGAGGACGAAATTACGATATACGGTAAAATTGCATATACCGTGTTGCAGCTATCGCGTCGACAACGAAAACGTTCAACCTCTCCGTACGCATGCGCGCTGGCGCGCTCTCGCTCTTCGCGTTTAATATACATATCTCTATAAGGTATTAATATATATAATACAAGGAACAAACGAAGTCAGAGAGAGGACATACTTTAAATCGTCTGAGGGGTGTGCCAAGTTGGCACGTAGTGGCAGGAAGAGCTGCTACTCGACGACGATGACGACAACGACGACGATGCGTTCACAGGACTAATCGCGACGCGAGCATGACGCGAATCACTCTTATCCCGTATAACTTGCCTCTCGTGCTGCTCCCTCGAGGCTCGAGCCCTATCTCACGCGCCGGTACAGTCGATCTCTATGATATCTTTCGGCACGTCCACGAACTGGTAAACCAGTCTCTGTCCATCGACTTTCGCCAGGATACCACGCTGGTAATAATAACGCAGTGCTCGGCCCATCGTCTCGTAGTTCATGTCTGGCTTGTTCTTGTGCAAACCCCACAGACGGGACACCGCCTTGCTGTCCACCAGCTTGAACACGCCTCGTTCGCGATTTGTCCATTTAATGTAACGGGGGCAGTATTCTCGATCCTGCAGCAGCTTCAACAGAAACTCCCAGAGATAGGTAGTCGAGCCTTCGCGCGATTTCCTCTTCACCGCGGCACCGTCTCCTTGACGTGGCTTCTTCAGCTTATTCTTTTTCGATCGTGGAGGGAAACCTAGCTCCAGAAGGTACAGATCGTCGGAAACCGAGCTAGTGGCTGCTTGAATCACGCTCGTCGGTACTCCACCTGGTCCTCGTGGTGGGCTAGGAGTGCACGGAGTAGCAAATTGGCTTCCACTGGCATACATTGAATTTACGTAACTGCTATAGCTCTCGGACACTAGAAACAGAAAAAGAGAATGGACCGTTAAAAGGTGATAGTGTATTTCAAAGCAGTTAAACGACGGTGACAGAAATGGCGTAGGTTAAGTTAAACTACAGTAACTACGAAGTATTTGAAACTTATGCTCTTCTTACGATTTCCGTCAGATGGCATCTGAGTAGTGCTTGTTACCATAGTAAGGTAACGTAGGTACAGAATTAATTACAGAGTAAATCCGGTTATTATACGTTCTTTTCTTTGCTACGAAAAAGAGCGAATAGTTGGCTATGGAAAAATGAAATTTAATGGAACACGTATCGCTTTTTTTTAACGTAGTCATGAATATTCCCTAGTAATTGTATTCGAATCACGCTTAATTCATCTTTCCAACGTCCACTATTCGATTAACTGCTCATTTCGCGAATACAGAGAGGCGTGTGCATTTTGACGAGCGGTGTTCCACTTTTTACATCGTTCCTGCATGTCGGTCTATTTGCACTTCAGAATCGAAATGGCGCACGTATTTACCGGAAGTTCGAAATTTTCCAAATCGTCCGAACATTAACATTAACAAGAAATTATAAAGTTGCACGTGAATCGCAATACACGAATTCTATCATGCGTATATAACATTGTTCTATTTGACCGTCTGACCAAACACGGTCCTATTCTACTGATCGAGCACAGACGATTCGTTCAGCGCCGTCTATCTGCTCCTCGCCAAATCTACAAGGATGCAACACGAAGCAAGCCGCGTTCGAAATCTCCTCGACCAAAATAAACTTTCGATTCGACATCGATTACTGGTTGATCCGTTGCGTGGCAAAGATTTTCGTCTCGCGCCTCTCAAAGTATACATCGTACTTAACCGTGCAATGAACTATTAATAGCCTGTCTACGAAGCATCGTTGTTGGTGTGCTTTGCCGTTTCTGTCACCGAATGATTGATGTCTCGGGACAAGCCTCGTCCCGATAACTTTTTCTCTCGGGCGGTAGCGATCGATCTCGATTCTCCGTGGCTCTACAGCACGGGAAACGACGTGTATCGAGTATACACGCATCCCGTCGAATCGGATACGCGATCTACGGACGATGGAAACATCGTTTACGCGGCGCGCGCGTTCCCGGTGGGGAGGTTAGTCGCATCGTTACACAGAAACGTCTCTTGTGCCAGTGCGAGCGCGCCCATACGGATGCGAATATACACGATTCGAGTTTATGCCGGCAGCGCTCGGTTGTACATAGTCATGGGCGTAACAGAAAACTTTTCAAAACTAATTTCTAAGAAAACGTGCGATTTGGTTGCCAATACATACATTTCTTCTCTATCGTTACGTATGCGTACCACTGTGATCACGAAAGTGTGGCTTAATTCTCGCAGCGTTAAAAGCTACCGAACCAAGTGGGTTAGATTACTTTGTCTAAATTTTTTCTAACCTCTACAACGTGGTCGTTTTCTTTTATGAAAACAGATCGACAGCATAGCCACGATCTCCCTGAAAATTTCGTCGCGGAATCGTTCTACAGCTTCTGCGAACAGGAGGAACTCCCTGGATGCCTCGAAATAGAAAGTATTCTTACGCCACTGGTCGTGTGGCCAGTGCCGTGTGTGCGCGAAGAGGAGAAGAGGTGGTCGGGTAAAGAGAGGGTTAAGCGGAGCCAAATGAAGAGAGGAGGAGGAGGGTGAGGGTGAGAGAGGGAGAGCGAGACGGTAGACGGAGAGAGAGAGAAGAAACGACTAGGGGTAGGGGAACTCTGGCTGCAGTATGATAGAGGACTGACCCGAGCCAAGGTTGCACGGGTGACGCCATCAAGCTACTAGTGCATAATAGCGCCGCTCGTTCTGAGGCCGCCGCGACTGCGCTAAAATCGGAACTCGTTCTCTGGCTTTCCCTCCTCCGCCCCTTCAAGCCTCTTTCGCACCTACGTCGTTCCCCGTAGTTCCGTGGAGGCGCGCCGCTCCGCGCGGTTGAACGATTCTCCTCTCCTCTCTCTGCTCTTCTATTCGAGGGAAGCTTTTCTGCTTCCTAACCAGTGCCAAAGAGGGAAGGTTAAAAAAAGAAAGAGACGGAGAACGAGGCGGACACAAAAAGATGGGGAGGCAGGGAACCGAATTCTCGAGGTGCCTCTAAAAATAAAGAGAACCGTCCCGTTGTTCTCAGGATCCTATGTACATAGGTTACAAATGAACAGAACGGAGAGGGAACTCTGTATGGTAGAGAGAGAAAGAGCGATACGATGGAAAAAGAAAGAGGACCGAGGAGTAAAAGAGCACGGAGAACAGCTGGAGCGGATCGTGTTTACGCGCCGTATGACTGGCTAGATGAGTCAATCGTAGACCCGTTGTCTAGGAGGCCGCGTGGTGGGGGAGCTACTACTTCACTGACCTATACCACGGACGTCGTATAGCGAAGGGAGAGACCCGCTAGAGAGACGCGATGCATCGCGTATACACATGACTGTTTCGTGACGCATAGAACACGCCGCCGTCGCCGTTCTCCTGCATAGAGACACAGAGAGACAGAGAGAGAGAGAGAGAGAGAGAGAGAGAGAGAGAGAGAGAGAGAGAGAGAGAGACCAGTACCGCGTGCGCCGCTATGACGATTTTCTATTGACGCTCCTGTAACGTTTGCGCAATAGGAAACCTATGTACCTCTCTGGAGGAGGAAACTGTTACGAGATCGGCGTGCTATCGCGTCTTTTATATCGCGACGACTACTCTAATTTTACGCTCTTACAACGAGCTTTCAAATACGCATACTTTCGTATCGAACACAACTTCTTACCAACTCACTGTTTAAGCTCTCTATTCTCGTTGGAATACAGAAAGAAAGGATATGGGGGGGGAATTGGCAGTAAAGGAAAGGAACGGCAGTGTGACGAACAAGTGGCGATGTTTTCATCGGTCGACCGTTTCTTCCTGAACACGGTGGCAGGAAGTTTAGGCGAAGCAGCCGGTAACGAGTCGATAGTTAAAAATACGAACAAGAGACAGGAAAGGGGGAGGGGGAAGGTTAGACAGAGATCGAAGTTATCCACGGAGCAGTGGCTCCCGTTTATTTTGCGAGAATTTCGCGCTAGCCTCGCGGCCGGAAGTACAAGTATAGCGAGAACGGTGGGATAGGGGGAGCGCGCGAGAGAAAAAGCGGGGAAGCGGGAGGAGAGATGATCTTGCGCGCCACCCGTGGTGGGGATATCCAGGAACGTACGAATCGTGGCGGCGCGCGAGCGCGGGGAGGGGAGGGGGCGAACGAGGCGAGTAGACTGAAAGTGAAGACGACGGAAGAGGAATCTCGCGTCTCTGTATCGGGGGGGAACGGATTCTCCCGTACACTCTCTCTCTCGTAACGCGAATAATCCTTTGAAAAATAAATTCCGCAGGATTACCTAGAGATACACAGTGGCGGTATCTTGAGACTAATTTCTAGCTAGTCTCGGTTCGTTCCTTCGTTTATCGATAGAAAGAACTCGGAGAGAGAGAGAGAGAGAGAGAGAGAGAGAGAGAGAGACAGCGAGATTGCGTCAATTTTATTTTTTCCGCGGCAACGAAAATACCCAAGGCGACTTATAAGAATGTAGTCGATGATATACATATACAGGGTGATACATCTAACTTGACACCACTTGGAATTACTCGCGAACACTATTGGTTGTACGAAAAAAGTACAAGATTTCAAAGGAGATCTACGTTACGAAGGTTGTTTTTATCCCTTTTCTGTTTAACGGGAACACTCTGTATTTCTTCGTGGAAATTAAAGGGGGGCGTTGAAAACCGAGTAAATAATTAGGCACGATAAAATGAATCAGGCTGTATAAGCAGAAGCGAGAACGAAGAAAAAAAAAGGAGACCGGAGGCAGGAGATGACGTTAACGCAGCCGTGAACCCGTCATTTAGCGAGACGCCTCTTCTGCACATCGCGACGCGGCCATTATCATGCCGACTCATATGGCTAACCAATTGAAGGCTGAGATACGCGCGCCAGAGTTATCGCACGATTTCCTTGGGACGAGTTACTGTACCAATAAACGCACCGTTATTTCTTCTCCAGATACCGACTATCACTCTGTGGTGATATTGTTCGCAACCATGATCGAAGGATGAGGAAAAAGAGAAAAAGAGAAAAAGAGAAAAAGAGAGAAAGACAATCAAAGACGCGTAGATAAACGTGTCAATTTACGCGAATGATATTAATCAACGTTAAACAACCAACTGTAAACATATTTCGTCTGATCTGTCCTTACTCGTTCTACTTGTATATCGGCGTTACACGCTATATCCCTGCTTTAACATGTTAATTGAAAAACGAATTTTCCAATTGATTTACTCTAAGATTTCCCAGAGAAGAACAGTCTATCGTTAATGGCACCGATACGAAAAAGCGAATTTCGACGGTGTTACGTGTGTAAGTACACGTAGAGTAGAGGAGCAGAGCCTAACAGGCTGAAAGAAACACGTCGCGGAGGATGTGGCTGTGTAAGGCGAGTTCTCACGTACCAGGACTTCGAGGCGGAATTCCGCGTGCACCTAAGTGCACGAATGACCCTCAACCCGTCGAGGAGGGCACCGTCGGCGGCGGTGGCGGTGGCGGTGGCGGCGGAAGAAGGATGGAGTGACACGGTGTGAAGAGAAAAGGCACCGAAAGTGTTCGTACGGCATAAACAAAGCAGTCGTGGATACGATTCGGTTTTCTGGTATGCGTATGTATGCATACACGTGTATATACATAGATTGAACCAGGGGCACACGTATATATATATCTGTGTACTACCCAGAAGATATAGGTTTAGCAGAGAGGAGTGGGTGTGTGTGCGCGCCACCGTATATGTGTATATAGCGGTATACGAAAGACCCGGCATACGTATCGAAGAATACTTGAAGCGAGAAAAAGAGAGGAAAGAAGAAGAAGAGGAGGAGGAGGAGGAGGAGGAAAGAGGATAGGATAAAGATGGGGCTGGACACACGAAGTGAGTGTTGGTGAGAAGCGTGTGGTAGCCGGAGAAAGAGAGAGAAGGAAGGA